GCACTCTAGAAATTCTAAGAGTTAGATCAAATCGGCCAAGCTGAAATATGAAGGTCTGAATTCTTTCTCAAGCAATTCAGTCCTTACAAATCTCATATCTGAAATTTCAGATCTAGATTTTTAAGAGATCAATTCAGCCAATCTGATCTACAATTCATGCTTTATTCAAGAAACAACAAGATTAGATCTAGTCTATTTGAATGTTTCAAAAAAAACTTGATTACACAATCTGAATTTTACAACATTTGATTACAACAAGAATGAATGAAAGAAAGGAAGAGAAATTACATGAAGTGAAGCTGAAATTGAACTCAAGAAAACACAAATTAAGTAAAAATAGAACAAATGATCTCTCAATCCAGCTTTCCCCAATTCGAACTCACCTTCTTCTCTCTTGATTGCTTGGATCTCTTCAGCCCTTCTCCTTGCGCCTAACTCCTTCTCCTCTCCTCTTCTCTTCAAGAATTTTGAACCTCAAGGGACAAGGGAGTCTTGAACTTAAGCAAATGAACACCTTTCCCCCTTCAAGAGACCTCCTTATATAGGCTTTCAAGGAGTCTAGAAGCTGCCCCTTCTAGCCTCTTCTTGAAGCTTCTAGAATTGGGTGCACTTCACCCCTCTTGAACGTTCTAGAGCCTCTTGAAGCTGCCGCCCAATGCAACTTAGCTGAGTTTTGAGCATATTTTGGCTATACTCTAGGCTGCTTTTTGGGCTGAAATGGGCTCCTCTTTGCTAGGCCGAATTTAGCTTGCTTGCTAGGCTCTCTTTGGGGGAACCCAAAGAGTGTAGCATGGGCTACATGGGCCGATTGCTCCTCCATTGCTCTCTTGGCTGGCCTGGGCTAACTTGATTAAATTTTGGCTCTCTTTTCTTGCTTTATGCCTTCTTTTTCTTGAGTTGGTTTTCCCTGAATTTTTTCTCGAAATCAAGCTAAGATAGGGTGAAATTCAATCAAACCGGCATAAAATCCATACAAAAACTGCATAAATTGTAAGTAAACCATGTACTCATCATCTGAGCTACTCTACTCAGGCCTCGTCTGCCCTCTTTGCCATACTCCTACTAACTTGACCATCGGAGTCTCCACCTCGGGCATCTAACATTCCCTTCCCTGCATGACAGACTCCACTGGTCCTCGGCCTCAGCAAACCTCAGACTCCACTGGTCCTCATCCTCAACAGACCTTAGACTCCACTAGTCCTTGACTACAGTAGACCTCAGACTCCACTAATCCTCGGCTACAATATACCTCGGACCCCTCCTTCAACCAGCTCATCTTAGAAGTGAAGTTACAATGTCATCCTCAGCCCATTCTAAGCATCAACATTATTCAACATGGAACCTCCATATATTAAAGCTGTCATCATGACACGTTTCTTTTTCTTTCGTATTTTTTGTTTCTTTGTTTATAAAAAGAAAAGGCCAACACAACAACATCACGAATGATTTCAACAAGCACAAATAGTCAATACTTGGAGCCCAAAATACATAAAATGTGTAACTATTTTGCTCCTTTCTACCCTAGTCCAACATAACAGAGTACAACCCCTCTATCTTCCTTCTTTTCCCCTTTATCAAATAAAACACTACATCTCAAAATTGTAATAAAAATTGTCTCATACAAGACATGAGACTATAAACATTGCACTAATCAATAGGCATGCTTTTAACAAAATATCCTTAACGATGCTCCCTCTTAGTTCATTTAAGACTGGTCAGCCTCGAATGCAGCCGGTGCAAAAATTGGATTGTATCTTGGGAGATCCCTTGGACTGATATCAGTCCCCAGACTAAAAACTAAGCTGACATGCTGTTGCTATGCTGATGCTAAAGTGGGTTGAGACAGGAGAGCCAGACTTAGGGGGGAGTTCACATTGGCACCCCACACGAACATCTCAGCGTGCATTGGGAACACCTCCCATATTTGTCATTGGAAGATGTTTCCACTTTCCAATACGGTTGAGAAATGCTGTGGGGCGCCCGCGGGATGCCGATGCAAATTCGACTGAGGGATTAATATGGTTCTGCTGTGACATAGATACTGATTGGACTGATGTGAATTAAAACAAAAAAAAATGCATGCTACTGTAACATTGAACCAAAACTGGGCTGAAATGGTATCAAAACAATGCAGGCCTATAAAGCTACATGTTGCAGTAACGGATTCTAAATTGGGCTGAAATGATGCCAAAACAAAAATGCAGGCTGATAGAGCTACATGCTGCGGCAACTGTGGGTCCTAATGGGCCTAATGAGCTGAAGTGAGAGCAAATAAATAGTTCAGAATAGCAGACTTAAGCAATCTATCAAACATGATGATTTTGTGGAAAATAAGGGTTAGGATGAAATTTTGAAATGATTGCACTCTTCTGTTATTTACAGCAGGAAAAAAGCTAACAGAGGATCGCATAAAGGCCAAGTTCTATTAGAATTTACAGCAGAGGAACACCTCACAGAGGGGCCTCATGGTGGTTTATACGGGATAATGGCATTTAATTCCCAGCACTAAAGGGGATGCAAAATGAGAGGTTCAACTTTCGAAAGAAAATTGCTCTTCCAGTTCCATACATCAACATTAATACCTCCAATTTCAACCCAACATCAAAATAACCTCCAAATTGCTACTCCACCCAACCATTCATTCATAATGCCAGTGCATACTTCCTCTTCACAATCACTCAACAACCAAATGCATCTTCGAAGCACAAAGAATAGCCACTCATCCAGGAGCCAAGAATCATCTAACCACAATCATCAAGTCAAAGTCCAACACCTACTCCGTCTAAAAAAAACAAAGCAAAACACAGATTATTTTATCATTAGGGACAGCAAATGAAAAATACAAACCACACAAATACAAAGCAAAGTAAAAGCAAACCAAAAATCTTGAAAACACTTTTCTTTTTCTTCCTTTTCTTCAAGAATGCAAAAGGAATTGAAAACAGAAACTTCCCCTTTTCTTTTCTTTTTCAAAAATACCAAGCAAAACTACAAAAAATGAAATGTAATATCAACAGAACTGTATCCACAAATCACATTCTGTATACATGCTGAAACTAAAGATGGGATAATTATCGATCCACATTCAAAATACAAACAATACTTGGTTTTTTTCATGAAGTTCAAAGAGTCGTAACCCTGCCTATATGATGAAAAAAGATCATGAACATCTAGAAAAGTTTTGGCCTCTCAATTGGCATCTTAAATGAAAAGAAAAAAGAGGAATATTCTAAGTTCTAATGCAGGCCACAACAATGGAAACTAAGCATGCCAACTTCCACTTCATGTTATGCATTTCCAAGAGACAAACAGATCCTAATGAAACAAAACTTAATGCAATCAGACCTCTTCATCACCAAACCAATAACCAAATAGAATCAAATTAAATCTCATTCACTTGTAGCTCTATTATACAAAATGAGAAGAAGGACAGAAACTGAGCTGCATAACTATATGATAATTAAAAATAAATAGCAAACTACCTTAAACCACAATATACTCAAAGTAAGAGAGCAGGGGACAGCAACTATTTTCCTTACCAGATAAACACCGAAAGGGTATTCCATTTCCCCTTACGATTCCCTGATCTGGTAAAGCACTCATGCCCCAAGCATGTTTTTACAAAAACTAATCAAACATAATAAAAGAAAATAGAAGGATGCATCTGATGATATAGTATAACAACAGAACAATGACAAAGCAAAAAGAAAATCAGTATAAACTATTGACTCTATCACAAAATTGAAAGAATTGCACCATGAGGAAGTCCTCACTTCCTATTTGTTTAAGATTAAAACTTGATAGCCAAGGTTGACAAAGCTTTGGATCGACAATCACTTCACCGACAATGAGGCTGGACAGAGTGAGATAGTTAACTATGAATACATTCCAATTGTCGACCACTGCTCTGATGATCGAGATTTTGTAGACTAAGAGAACAGAGTGGCAATGCCATGAGCGTAGGTTCTGAGACCCCTTAATTTGGTGTAGATGGTAAAATTACTGATACAGTACAAATGATGTGAAATGAAATGATAATTTTGCCATCTTATCTATACACCAAACCATTGGAAGGGATGTGGTTGTTTAAATCTTCAATACATAGAGGGAGAAATAAGCAGAGATATATAGCACAGGGGAGGTTTAAGCAGTTGTCAGATACTATAGGGTAGGTTTTAAGTAAATTAACCCTTGATTTTATGTATGTCTGCTTGTATTAATTTTTAGACCATATCATAAACAATTGTAAAACTGCAGTGCAAAATTTTATTGGCTCAGAAAACGTGATACAGGAAACACAGAAGTTGGAAGTCTATTTCTTTATTTCCAGAGTGAATTAACGCCTGCATTAAGATAAATTTCACCGTATACATAAGTTCTTGAGTTGAATTGAAGCTCTCATAACTTGCAGATTTACATTTAAAAACCAAAGACAAAGAAATTGGAATTAAAAACCAGAGACAGAAAATGGAAAAAGGAGGTAGACTGAAACAATGACCTAAGATACTCGGAACCAGGGATAGGGTTGGAGTTACTTTCTTCCGGGGAAGAAGGATATAAGGGGATTCAAAGCACAAAAGCTCAGGTAATGACTATGTGACTTAATCCTTATACTTCATCTCAGACATGTTGAAGCCAGGCATGTCAAAGGACGATGAAAACTTCTCCACAGCAGCCTTGAGGTTCTCAATTTCCTTGTTGTTCACTAGGCCCTTGTTGAAGTCCTTCAAAAGCTTCCCATACTCCTTCTGGATGTTCAAGGTTATAGTCACTGCCTGGTGGAGGAACTCTGCAATCTGCTCAAAGTCCTTCTCAACCAAGCCTCTTGATGTCATGGCCGGAGCACCTGTGAAATGCATATAATCAGTTATCATTTTTAGTTCCTGAGTGAATAAACAACTTTTATGCCTTGAAATAAGGAAGTTCTTCCATCTACTCTCCAAACAACCGGTTTAGAGCCTGATATTTTTGAATTATATAGATTCTGCTGTAAGGATATAGGCATTAGTCAAATTTGAAGAACAAACTAGATTCTAATGTGGGCTGACCCAAACAATCTTTCAGACATAACACACAATGGTTATGATTTAGCAGGTTGAACTCTGGACAATAAAAAAAACATTACTTTAAAGAAGATAGTTCTTACCAATTCGAACACCTCCAGGAGCCAGAGCACTGCTGTCCCCAAAAACAGCATTCTTGTTCAGGGTAATGTTGCATAGGTCACAAAGCTTCTCAACTTTGTTTCCTGCAAGAGTGGAATTGGAGAGACTAAGTATAAACTCGGAAATCCAAGCCTGCATGTATTATCATACTTCAAAAATAGATCATTTCAAACTTTTTATTTACCAGTCAAACCAAGGGGTCTGAGGTCCCATAGTACAAGGTGGTTCTCAGTGCCATCAGTGACAATCTTGTATCCCTTCTTCATCAAGTAGTTTCCAAGTGCAACTGCATTGGCCTTGACCTGCTTAGCATAAGCCTTGAATCCTGGAGACATGGCCTGCTTCAAGGCAACAGCCAATGCACCAATCTGGTGGTTGTGGGGACCACCCTGGAGTGATGGGAAGACTGCAAAGTTGATCTTGTCCTCAAAGTCATACACTGCATCCTCGGGCTGGCCCTTCTTGGGTGGCTTGGGACCCTTCCTGTAGAAGATCATTCCAGCCCTAGGCCCTCTCAGGCTCTTGTGAGTTGTTGTTGTGACAATGTCACAGTACTCAAAGGGATCAGCAGCTTCCTACAGGACAATAGGATAACAATGAGGCCTAAAATTCTGGAAGTTGCAATATCACAATGGATAAGACGCTGTAGAGAAAGATCAACAATTCGTACTAACTTAACAGAATGAGCTACATTTAGATTTAACAGAACATGCAAATCAGTCAGATTCATTTGCTCTACGAAACAAGAACCACTATGAGAACCCAGATTTAAATCTTCAAAAACAGTTCAGAGAAAGCCATAATCAATATAGGATATTTCACTTTGAATGAAACTGCAAACCCAGATCCAGATTCAGAAATTTGTTATCTACATTAACCAGACGAAACCCAGATACGAGAAAAGACTAAATGAACTGAAGGGAAAAGAGAAGAATACTCACTGAAAACACTATTGCAAAACCCAGATCCAGATTCAGAAATTTATTATCTATCATTAACCAAACGAAACCCAGATTCGAGACAGACTTAACTGAAGTAAAGATATAAAAGATAAGGATTTTCACTGAAAACAGAATTGCAAAACCCAGATCCAGCTTGAGAAATTTGTTATTTAAAGTAACCATACGTAACCCAGATACGAGAAAGGAAAAGAAAAAAGTTACCTGGGCAGCAACAAGACCACTGATGTGAGCCATGTCACAGAGTAAGAGCGCACCACACTTATCCGCAATAGATCTGAATCTCTTGTAATCCCAGTCTCTGGGATACGCGCTTCCACCGCAAATTATCAACTTGGGCCTAAAATCCATGGCCTTCTCCTCCAGCTTATCGTAATCAATGTACCCAGTTGATGAACTGACCTTATACGGCAAGCTCTCGAAGTAGATAGAAGTAGCAGAGATCTTCTTCCCTCCAGAGGTGTAGTACCCATGTGTGAGATGGCCACCAGAGGGAAGATCCAGACCCATGATGCGGTCATGGGGGTTCAGAACCGCGGTGTAAGCAGCAAAATTAGCCGGACTGCCGGAGTACGGCTGGACATTCACACCCCACTTGGTGGGATCGAGGTGAAAGGCTTGAAGAGCTCGGGAGCGACAGAGATTCTCAATCTCGTCAATGAATTCGTTCCCTCCATAGTATCGGTTCCCAGGCATTCCCTCGGAGTACTTGTTGGTTAACGGGCTGCCCAGAGCTTCGATGACAGCGAAGGAAGTGAAGTTCTCCGACGCGATCAGCTCGATTCCTCGGCATTGGCGGCGTTTCTCCTTCTCAATAAGATCGAAGATCTCCTCGTCGACGTCTTTGAGGGATGAATTGCCCCAAACGTTAACGGGATCCATTGGAGACGAATGGAAAAAAATGAGAAACAGGGGAAAATGAAGAGAGCCGAGAATGTGTGAAGACGGGCTTCTCTTTCCCTTGAGAGGATCGCAGGAGTCTATGGTGATGACGAGTGGATTTTAAAGGGGTCTTTGGTTGTCGAATTACGATATTACCCTTACCGGTATTTTTAAGTGTAAATATTAAACCTCCCCGATATTTATGCGAAGTAAGGCTGCAAACGGTTCCGATTATCCGAATTCGAATTCGACTTCGATGCCATTAAGGGTGATCCGAATCCGATCCGTTTATGATGGGATTATGGATCTACCCCTATCCGATTCGATTTGATTTATATTATACTTATCATTAAACTTGGCCTCAACATTGTATTTTCACTAAAATGTCATACGTTCAAGTTTTATCTAATTAATTTTCAATTCCTTTTCTTTATAAAATATAACATTAAATTAATGTTTAGTTCATTTTATTAATAATATATGATGTTTTGATCATTTTTAGTCTAGGTTATTTATGTTAGTTAATATTTGATTATAATCCAAATTCATTTGAATCCACTAGATATCCAATGGATATGATCTCATTCGAATTCGAATGTAAATAAATCAAATTCAGATATGCCTATATTTGATTCAGTCTGATCCATTTATAACCCTAATGCTAAATACAAAGACCTCCTCTCTCTTTTTAAATTGGGCTGAAACCTCCCTTTCACTACTAGGGGAGATAAAAGATATAATATATTGAGGAAAATATCAGAAATGATGATGTCATCATTAAAAGATGTCTCCAATACACGGTAGGGATGTTTTTATGGGACGGGGGCTGATTTGATCTCCACAAACACTCAAATCATGTGGATTCCAATATGCTAACCACAATATGTTCCCACATCTCAACCCACTAGAGACATTAGAGTTGAATATTGGAAATATTTCCTTTTATCATTCATGGAGAGGTATTCCCAATATACGACAGTGGCCTTATATGGGTAAACATGTGGGGAGGAATTGTGGATAATGGATTTAGATTGAAATTATTTTGGCTATTCAAATTTCAAAACACATCCATCACTCCATAGTCCATAATGCATATCACCAACGAATTTCTGGCCCTATGGCATATTTCGGAGCCACGATCTTTCTTCTCTTCACGACAAGAGAGGAGATTGACTTATCAAAGACGGGTCACATGAAACCAATTGGATAAGGAAAATTTGGTGGCGTTTGATAAATCTGAAAAGATAAAAAAGTTTTATTTGTGTTTGAAATCTGAAAAGAAGCATAGGTATTTTTCTTCTTTTTAGAGGTTGAATCCATAAGTTTAAGTTTGTTTGTGTTGAATCAACCCTTTATCATCTAAAATTCATTAATTTTACTATTTTACCCCTGGAACATACTATTTGGAAATGTTGAATTCAATTTGCATTATCTCATAAAAAATAATTTTCAACTTCAAAATAATATTGAAACAATACTAAAAAATAATAAATTAATAATTAAAAGTTAGTAATTAATAAATGAAATGATTAAAATTAAAAAATAATTAATGAGTATAAAAATATTAAAATAATTAATAATTAGTAAAAATATTTATAATAATAATAAATTATTATTATTATTATTATTACTACTACTAACCCTCTAGAGAGAGAGAACTGTTGCCGTTGCAAACTGTAGTGGTGGTGGCGGGAAGGTGAGAGAGAGATGAATCAAATGGGATAGAGGTATTTTTTACTTTAGGCCACGTCTGAAACGCATCTGAGCACATTAAGTGATAGGCCTAAGTCTTAAAATTTCAGATTTGAAAAAACTTTTCAGATCATATTTCAGATGCAATACCAAATAAACATTACATCTGAAAAGCAAATAAGTTGCAGTGGTGGTAGCGGGAAGACAGGGGGAGAGAGAGAGAGAGAGAGAGAGATGGGTTGAATGGGATAGAGATATTTTTTATTTTAGGCCACGTTTGAAACGCATCTGAACACGTTAAGTGACGGACCTGGCTCTTAAAATTTCAGATCTGAAAAAACTTTTCAGATCATATTTGAGATGCAACACCAAATAAGCATTGCATCTGAAAAATAGATATTTCAGATTCAGACATCTGAAAAATATTATCAAACACCACCTTAGAGTTCAGTCCACCTTAGATTTTTATTAGATATTTAGATTTTATTTATCAACAACTCCACCTATTCACAACCCCTTTAAATTTTGATTCATTCCCTCACCTATTACTGTTCCAATTGTACTAAAGTTTATGGACGGACTGAACATAAAAATGTCATCGTTCGTAAAACTAATTCAAATGGTGTTCCTCGTTGGCAACCAAAAAACATACTAAAAACACCGGAGATATTCTCACGATGTAATAGCATGGGAGTGTAGAGAAATTAAAGTTGATGGCAAACCTAGAATGGTTAAGGGAGATATTGTTGCAATAGGCTCACGTTGAGGTGTTGAGAGTGAGAAAACAGAGGCCAAATGTGGAAATGGGATGGTCTCATCTATTGATAATTCAGATCAGTGGAGTTTTTTTGGTAGTTGAAAAGCTTACTTCATGAAACATTGATGCCGCTTTGATTGATGTAATCTGCAAAGGTGAAGTCATCTCTCTCTATATATATTTTTCTGAAAAAAGCTCTTAGACTAATCCATTCAACAATTATTTAGTTACATCTGATTCCAAGAAAGGAATCAAGAAATCAGGTGGTAATGACCAAGTACAAAGAGTGAAACAAGAAAGAGCATGTCTAGCAATTCGGTGAGCCACCCTATTGCAAAGAGCATGTCCCGCGTCATTGCGAAGTCTAGGTGTGTAACTAACTGAGCAATGTAGCAGGTGAGATCAAAAGCTCTTGCTGTCAAAGAAGAGTGTGTGGACACTCCAAGGTGGGGAGAGATGATCACCCAACAAGAGATTGATCAAGAGATCCCCAAACAGGAAGCAAAATGAAAGCTGACTACTAAGGCACTTGCTTCTGTGCTTAGAGCAGATTGGGCTTTTATTTACAAAGCTCGAGCAAAGAGAAAGGAGCCCGAATCACAATCCCAATTCCTGAATGTTGTGCAGAAGTGGCGCCATCAAAGTTTATCTTGAAGAAACTCTAATCTTGGAGCATTTTCTATTTCTTCTCTTCCTTGAAAGAATTAGAAACCAAAAACCCAAAAGGTTGGATCTGTTGATTAGGGAATTGGTAAAGTCATGGCTCCAGGTTTGGCTTTTGATCTTAAAACTGTTGACTGATGGGGTTCAGACCAAATAGTTGGACTATTTAACTTAGGGTCTGTTCGTTTGCTCTGAAGTTTGATATTTAAAAGTGCAATAATTACATTAAGATGTATATTGGTGTTAGTGAACTTTTCTTTTCAGAGTATACTGTTAATTCTGAATTTTGAAAATGATCAAATATTCGGTTTGACCCTATATATGAGATTTTTTTTTTGTCTTTTTAGAATGTTATTAGAAAACAAAAAATTATATAATTACATTTTAAGAAACAAGAAATAAGAGGAAATGCCGAACACCCATTTTTCTCTTAAAATTAAAAAATTCTTCTTAAAAAATAAGAGTTAAAAAAAAACAAACAAACCCTTAAAAAACTAATAGCCAAAACAATTCCATTTTCAGGTAGATTTTTAAAACCATGTGTCGTGAAAGTCACATACTAATCTTCCCTTACCATGTGCACCGACATAATTTTAATGCTTTTCAATTTCAAAGGTGTATATTTTTCACTGCATTCATGGTATCTACATCTATAGCATGCAGCTTCTATTTCATCATTCAATTTCAAGACACTTGAGTCAAATTGAATTTAAGACTTCTGTCATCAAGCCCATTGCAGGCACCAATCAGGCAGCTTTCGAAATAATGTCAATATTTAACTGAAATCTGATATCAAATGAAACTTATAAGGAAGGGAGATTTTTGTCTGATATCCATCATTTTGAAAAGTGAAGGGACGTCTTAGTATTTAGCATAAAAAAATTAGAGGAGGTTAATTTCCTTTTATTTACAATTTATCCTGCGGTTCACATTGCGTTGGTTCAAGCACCGGTTGTATGGTGGGATGCGAAGATGGACGAACCGCTGAACCCATCTCCACGTGTCTAGACCAGATGGTCAGACCAGACGACAAGGCGGTTTGAGATTCATTGCGCAACAATGCAAGCCGGTCAGTGGTCAATTGTTAGAGGTGAAGATGGTTTCCGAACGATTTGAACTCGAGTCAACCGATCAAAAAAAATCTGATACCTTTATACGGATATACCTACCACGTCAGATAGAGTTGAATCTAACGGCCCAGGACTTCCAAAAAGTAGAAAAACAGAAAAGCACTTCTTGAGGTAGGTAAGTAGGTTGCTACTAATAAAATAATCTAAAATGGGTCTTTTTGGTTACTATTGAAAGAAAAGGCGAAACAGTTTTCTGGTTTGGAGTCCAGATCTGCCGCCAGTAATACAGACGCACATCAAGAACATCGCTCTTTTCATTCGTGAGAAATATTTCTAATGTGTGACTGTCTTAAGACGCTTTGGTTAGCAGCAAATCCCGACTTAATTGAGATTTTTTCCGGGAGAATGAATTTGTTTGTAGAATTGAGTGGAGTCGTGGTCTCGTGGAGAGTCCAGACTCCAGAGTCGAGACTGCAGGAGCCAGACCGGAGACACGAGTCAGAAAATAATAAATGGGTCGGATCGTGAGAAGTTATTTGGGCCGGACCCAACCCAGTGCCCAGAGTTGAACAATATTCATGAGTGGTGCGACGTGCGACGTTTGTGTTGGAGTTGGTGAGCGAAGAAAGGGACGTAAGACCGAGAGAACCGAGAACAATAGAGTTGGTTTAAAGGTTGGTGAAGGGTATTTGAGACATTTTAGATAAAACCAAACTCCGTGACGTCGACCCGCCCGCCTGCCTTCCAAATTCCGACGACTGGTGACTGGGTTGGTGACTTGGTGTAAGTAGTAGTGGTTCGCGTTATAAATCAATAATATTTCTTGAACTCTACAATGACAGTGGAGGAATAAATTATTAGAAGAGTGTGGAAGCAAACAGCTACGATGGGAGTTTGGACCTTTGGAATTTTGAATCTGT